GGGTTTAGGGTTTAGGGTTGTAGGATTGAGGGTGATAGGGTTGTAGGTTTGAGGGTGATAGGGTTGTAGGGTTGGCGAGCCATTAAGGTTCCATAAGGTTGCAGGGTTACAGGTTAAGGTTAACTCTACACCCTAAACCTAATCCCCAAGCGGTTCGGGTCTACAGTTAAGCGCTATACACCCTAAACCCTAAACACTACAAACCCTAAACCCCCAAGGAGGATCCACAGAGCCCCCTCAAGGGATCCCATAGCTTGCACAACACAAGTCCTACCTTACCGCCGCCACTTGGGGTAGGGTGTTGGGTTTTGGGTTTTGTGTTTCGGGTTTCGGGTTTAGGGTGTAGGGTCTAAGGTTTAGGGTTCGAGTTTCCAAACCTCAGACCTTAAGCCCTCCAAACCCGACGCCCTAACCCCTAAAGTCTACACGCTAAGACTTGTGTCTGGTCTCAGGCTGGCGTTTTCGGGTTTAGGGCTTCAGGGGGTGTAGGGTCCCTAAGCCCCAAACCCTAAAGCCGAAACATACCCTAAACCCTAAACTCAGGGCGGGGTAGCTTGGGGTTTCGTGTTTCCGGCAGAGTCAGCTCCAAGCCATACATGCTGAAGGTTCTAAGCCTTAACACACCCCCAAACCCCCTATATCCCCCTACCCCGAGTCAAGTTTTTTTCTGCCTTGTTGTTGTCAAGCTTCGGGTTTAGGGTTTCGGGTTTAAGGTTTTGGGTTTAGGAGGATTTATGCCATTTGCCTGATCCACAAGCTCTGACCACAACGGACGCTTCTGCGTCCTCGACCCTGAGCCATCGTTACCATCTGCCCCTTTCCAGACACTCGCCCCTATCCAACCTCGACAAAGCAGTTCTGTGAACGCCCACTTCAGGGCGTCCGCCTGGCCGCGGTAGTACTCTGCTTGGTCGCGCCTAAACCCTAAACCCTAAACCCTAAACCCTAAACCCTAAACCCTAAACCCTAAACCCTAAACCCTAAACCCTAAACCCTAAACCCTAAACCCTAAACTGGCAGCATGGGCAGCCACAGCACCAGGCACGGCCTGCGGAAACCGGTGCTGAGCTGCTTCAGCGCAGAAGTCACCAGGCTGAGAAAATCTAAAACCCTAAACTCGAAAAGCTAAACCCCAAGCCCTCAACCGCAAACCCCAAACCCTGCACCCCCAACCTGAACCCTAAACCCTAAACCCTAAATTCTAAACCCTAAACCTTAAACCTTAAACCCTAAACCCTAAACCCTAAACCCTAAACCCTAAACCCTAAACCCTAACCCTAAACCGAGGTTCAAGAGCATATTTTCCAAGGCATAGAGCTGCTTCAGCGCCTTCCAGCCTTCCGAGGCCGGAGCTAAGTAGGAAGGGTTTAGGGTTTAGGGTTTAGGGTTTAGGGCTTAGGGCTTAGGGTTTAGGGTTTAGGGTTTAGGGTTTAGGGTTTAGGGTTTCGGGTTTCGGGTTTAGGGTTTAGGTTTTAAGGTTTTAAGGTTTTAAGGTTTTAAGGTTTTAAGGTTTTAAGGTTTTAAGGTTTTAAGGTTTTAAGGTTTTAAGGTTTTAAGGTTTTAAGGTTTTAAGGTTTTAAGGTTTTAGGGTTTAGGGTTTAGGGTTTGGGGTTTGGGGTTTGGGGTTTAGGTTTTGGGGTTTGGGGTTTAAGTTTTAGGGTTTAGGGTTTAGGTTTTAGGGTATAGGGTTTAGGGTTTGGGGTTCAGGGGTGTAGGGTGCAGGGTGTGTAGGGCTTTGGGTTTGTTTAATGTTTAGGGCTTTAGGGTTTAGGGGTTTAGGGTTTAGGGTTTAGGGTTTAAGCCCTAGGGTTTAAGGTTTAGGGTGGTTTGGGGGGGTTGGGGTGTGGGGCTCAGAGGTGTTTTAGGGGTTTGGGGCTTGTTCCGGGCACATGCGTGTAGGGCTTATTCTGATCAAACCTAGGGGCTCTCATCGGTCTAGGGTTTAGGGTTTAGGGTTTAGGGTTTAGGGTTTAGGGTTTAGGGTTTAGGGTTTAGGGTTTAGGGTTTAGGGTTTAGGGTTTAGGGTTTAGGGTTCAGGGTTCAGGGTATCAGTATGTGCTCGGGGGTTCTCAAAGTTCTCTGCGTGCCGGGGTGCCTGCATATGCTGCCGCATGGCTTCAACCTGTACACCTCTGAGGGTAGAGTTAAGGGTTTCGAGTTTAGGCTTTCGGGTCCCTAACCCTTAAACCCCTAAACCCTGAAACCCTGAAACCCTTAAACCCTTAAACCCTTAAACCCTTAAACCCTTAAACCCTTAAACCCTTAAACCCTCAAACCCTTAAACCCTTAAACCCTTAAACCCTTAAACCCCTAAACCCTAAACCCTAAACCCTAAACCCTAAACCCTAAACCCTAAACCCCAGAAGAGCAGCTCGGCTCCTCGTAGCTGGATCTCCGCCGCCGGTTTCGCAGCATCGGTGCTCTCGCCATTCTTGCTCTCCTCAAAGAAGCACTCTGGGAAACATTGATGTGTTTAGGGTTTAGGGTTTAGGGTTTAGGGTTAGACTCAAGCTAGACTCTTGAGTAAACCCCCCCTGAAAAAAAAAACGAAGGTGTAAACCCTTTGCGGGTTCAGGATTTAGGGTTAAGGGCTCAGGGTACCCCCAGAATGAAGAACTTCAGGAGTTTAGAAGGCATATTCGGAAAGAATACAGTTACAAGGGGGCTCGTGTACTTACTTTCCTGCAGGGTTCCTTCATGTACTTCGGGGCTCTGTGAGGGGTGTTTACAAGGGCCCTCGGTTAGGGTTTAGGGTTTCAGGGTTTAGCCTCTGTATCCCCTATTTGCTAGGACCTCTTCATGGGTTCAGGGTTTAGAGGTACACTTGATTTTGCTGAACCGGCCTTGCCTCAAGCCCTAAGGAATCCTATCCTATAATACTTTTAATAACATTGCACAAAAGCTCGGCGGTTCTCAAAGGTCAGGACACGCGTCTCGAAGATTTGCCAATCTAAGTGCCACAAAGACATCAGGATGCGACTTGCAACGTACTGACGACCTAACTTATGTCATGCACCTAGTCTACACTGCAAGAAACGACGGGAGATAACGAGATTCCGCCAAACTGCACTGACAAACATAAACCCCAAACATGGGAATACTTACTGTTCATTAGTAGGGAATGAGGGAATGAGGTACCCTGTACCCTGTATCCCCCCCACATATACCCTTTAAGTGACAAGGAAAGATAAATCCGAATGGTTGATGGTTCTAGTTGTACTCACAATTAAGCTAATAATTTACACATTTTTCAATTAATTATTCAATCCAGCGAGTTTGAGAAACTTGTTATACTACATACTTTGAATGAGGTCCCTCATGCCCTACCAACCAACAGCAAGAATAAGGGCCTGCTCTGGGTCCTAGCTTCCTAAGGCTCTTGCTTCTGGCAGGTGCCTCCAGGGCTGACCAGAGTTCAGGGTTCAGGGTTGAGGGATTAGGGTTTAGGGTTTAGGGAAAAAAACCTACACAACACACCACCCTAAACCCTAAGCCCTAAGCCCTAAGCCCTTTTTCAGGCCTCGTCCAGCAGTGGCTGCGCGGCCGCCCGCGTCATGGCAGCTCGGCTCGCGCTTGGCAGCGTTTTGAAACCCTTAGAACACCCTGGTGACGCCCTTAAAAGAGGGTTGAGGGTTTAGGATTTAGGGGGGTTTAGGATTAGGGTTCAGGGGGTTTCCCGAAATTACGGGTGACTTTTTGGGGGTCCTTGTTCTAGGGGAGTCCTAGTATTTGGTGGTCTGATTTTTTGGGGTCCTTTTTTTGTAAACCCTCAAATAGCCTCCCTAATTCCTCAACCCTGAACCCCAAACACGCACAGACCAACATGATACGATGGTGCAAAAGCCTTGGGCTTTATATACCCGCGATCCTAAACTGAACCCTGACCCGTCAACACACCCAAATCATGCATATAGTGAAGGCCCAAAAGACTCGAATGCTCACCCGGACACCCTTGACACCCTAGAGGTCCCCTACAAGGCCCTCTTCGTAGCGCCTTCGGGGCTACTAGTGCTGTTCACATGAGATCTTTTCTGCCTGTGCTGATGCTGCGGCAGGGTGGAGGGTTTACGAAGTGTTTGGGGCACCCTCTTTGTTAAACCAGTACTTGGAGGTTCATGGTACTTCTTAATCCAATTCTTCATGTACTTATACCCCCAATTATAGCCATGTTAGGGCACTTAAAGAGCTTATAAGTGGGTTATAAGTACGGGTTTAATTGGGTTAGAGGTATCATCAGCCTGCAAGTAGAAGCACGCAGGGGAACCTACAGCAACCAGAACGCGAAAGAGAGCTCTGGAGGTGAAGCTTAAGCGCAGGCCTTGAAGAGTGGCCAGAATTAAAAGGTGCCGAGGGCCAACCTTTTTGGTCCTGCAAAGTCATTTACTCCTAGCCAAACGATTCAAGGTTCCCTTACACTCTTAGGGTCTTCAGTTTTTTTGGGTTGTAATTCTGGTCCCTGAGTACGTATCCTAAATATGTAAGGGGACCAGGGAATTCAAAAGGGACCGTCGTGCGGAGGACAGAGCGTCAACCCCAAGCCAGGACCTGAAAAGATATCCCTGACAGATTCTGTACTGGCAGAGACGCAAGTATTCTGGGGAGCTTGGTATTGGGTTGATGCCTTGAAAAGATTACAGCTTACCAGCACGCACCTAGGGGTACGTTGAAATACCATCAAGCCCTAATTCCTACAGTTCCTATACTTGCAGGGTCCTCCAGGGAGGGGGGTTCACGGGGGTCACCCAAGCTTCCCTGATCCTCCACACTTCTCCCTAAGGCTGCCTGAGCTTCCCTAAGTTTCTCTAGGTGCCTTCAGGAGCCCACAATATACTGCGTTTCGGGTTCAGGGTTAGGGCCCCTCAACTCTCCAATCCCTAAACCCCTAAACCCCCAAACCCTAAACACTAAACCCAAAAAAACTAGGCCTAGGCCCTGAACCCCCAACCCTGGTTACCCCCAAAGCGCAAAAAACCAAAACCAACATCACAGGCCAGGCACACCCATACCGCCTCGATCACATGAGGTCCCGCGGCCACCCTGCAATTTGAAAACCCCTGCCTTCTTCCAGGTTTAGGGTTTAGGGTTTAGGGTTTAGGGTTTAGGGATCAGGGGGCTCATAACCCCGCCGCTCCCCACAAAAAAAGTGTACACTGTCACTTCCATGAGTGATTACATTATCTCGTGTATTCGTTCTGCTACTAATAATAAAACAAAACAAAAAACTGCCCTCCCCCGGAGGAGGGTTTAGCGTTTAGGGTTTCGGGTTCAGGGTGGGTGTAGGGATCAGGGGAAGTAGTAACAAGCGGGTAATTAAACTTATCACTAAGCTCAAGTAAGGTACTTATCTCCGTCCTCGCCCACGTTCCTGCAGGACATGAACCCCTAGGACTTACGCAGGCTCTTTGGGTTGACCTTCGAGTTCCAATTTGTCTCGGTCGAGCTGAGTCCCAGGTCCGCCACGATTTCTCTCATTTTAGGGTTTAGGGCTTACAGCTTCGAGGACTTGGGGGGGGGGGGGGGGGGGGGGGGGGGGGGGGGGGCTGAATAAGTACAGCTAACCCCACAACCCGCCAATCCATCGGCGAGTCCTCGCCATAGATGTTGGTCGCCACCCTCGCCAGATATTTGTCTTGACTGCTTGTTTCCACGTAGTCAAGAACCCTAAACCCTAAACCCTACACCCTAAACCCCATCTTCCCCAACTGGCCCGCGGTCACGGGGAGGGATGAGCCATTCAAGCAATGCTTGGCGATCCAAGTCCGCAAGGTTTAGGGTTTGGGGTTTGGGGTTTGGGGTTTAGGGTTTAGGGTTTAGTTTAGGGCTTAGGGTTTATTGTTTAGGGTCTAGGGTTTAGGGTTGAGTTTCAGTAGCTTAGCTCCATTCTGCATGAGCACGCTCAACAGTGGTAGGATGGCGGCTCAAGGGCTACAGGGCTTTGGTACTGGGGCACGAACGAATACCCGGAAACCCTACAAAGTCCAGGGTTTAGGGTTTCGGGTTTAGGGTTTGGGGTTTGAAGCCCACTGCCATGGACCCAAACACCCAATAGCCCTAAACCCTAAACCCTAAACCCTAAACCCTAAACCCTAAACCCTAAACCCTAAACCCTAAACCCTAAACCCTAAGCCCCATAACCCTTAACCCTGAACGCTGAACCCCAAACCCAGCCTGGAGCCTGTCTGCAGGAAGGAGGGCAGTGGCGTGAGGCAGACCACCTCCGACTAAGCTTGACACAAAATCTTCAGGGCTCAGAGTTAGGTAGGGTTTAGGGTTTAGGGTTTAGGGTTTAGGGTTTAGGGTTTAGGGTTTAGGGTTTAGGGTTTAGGGTTTAGGGTTTAGGGTTTAGGGTTTAGGGTTTAGGGTTTAGGGTTTAGGGTTTAGGGTCTAGGGTCTAGGGTCTAGGGACTAGGGTTTAGGGTTTATATCTTAGGGTTTAGGGTTTAGGGTTTATGTCTTAGGGTTTAGGGTCTAGGGCTTAGAGCTTTGGGTTTTGGGCTCAACCAAACACGCGCACCCCTGGTACCCATCGAAGCCGCAGAATGCGCAGACCATCAAAGCTGAAGCTCCCAAATCAGAGCAGGTTCCCTCGATGAAGCTCCTAAACCCCAAACCCTGCTCTGAGATGCATCGTCTACATATTGGGTTTAGGGTTTAGAGTTTAGGGTTTAGGGTTTAGGACATGATCGAAATCCAGCTTCACCATCGGTGTCTCGTGAGATTCATGAGTCTCTGATGTCTCTGATCGGCTGCCAGATGCTTCACGACCGCCACGATCACGCCCCAAATTCTGTTGAAACTCACGCGGCAGCTGCAGACCAAGTTGCTGTGACTCCTGGTTCCACTCCCCAAGGAAACACCGCTGTTGGAGTGCAGGCACAATAGTCGGCACAATAGTCCCTGAACCCTAAACCCTAAACCCTAAACCCTAAACCCTAAACCCTAAACCCTAAACCCTAAACCCTAAACCCCTTGGAGCCAATGCCAGGCCCCTGCTTCCCTGAAGTTGTAGAAGTAGGTACCCAAAAGCTCAGTAGTATGGTTTTGGGGGTACCCAATTCCATCATGGTCCTACACACGGACCCTCAACACCCTAGACCCCAGACCCGAAACCACAAACCGAAATTTTGAGGCTGAAAGTGTTACAAGAACGAGCACAACATTGACTGCCATCATCACGAAACTGGAAGCATGATAGTCACGCGCATGTGCTGATGGTAAGCATCAGCTGCTTCACCTATATGGGATCGTCTTGACTCCAAGTCCGCGTCAACCCTAAACACCAAACCCCAAACCCCAAAACAGTAAACCCTAAAACCCACACCCTAAAGCCGAAACCCTAAACCCTAAACCCCAAACCCTAAACCCTAAACCCCAAACCTTGATCGGCCGCTTACCAGCCAGCTGGGAGACCGGACGCTGGTACTCGCGGCCAAAGCGAGAAACGGCGAGCAGAGCAGCATCCTCCCAAGCTTGACGATCAGAGACCCTAAACCCTAAACCCTAAACCCTAAACCCTAAACCCTAAACCCTAAACCCTAACCCCTTAAACCCTCAACCCTAAAATTGAGGCTTGGGGCCTAGGGTTTAGGGTTGATGAGGGCATAGGGTTAAGGGGTTTAGGGTTTAGGGTTCAGGGTTTAGGGTTTAGGGTTGCTGAGGGCACAGGGTTTAGGATTTAGGAGTGATGGAGGCTCGGGGTTTAGGGTTGAGGGGTTAGCGAGCTTTGGGGAGTAGGGCTTAGGGTTTAGGGGGAGGTTTGAAGTGTAGAGACGAATGGGGTATAGGGTTTAGGGTTTAGGGCTTAGGGTTTAGGGTGGTTTGAGCGATGCTCCTTTAAAACAAGGGGGCCTTGCGAGCACGAGCGATGCGCACTTCTGCGCCTGCTGGTGTGGTCAGAACCATAGCTAAACCCTGTCAGGGGTTTAGGGTTTAGGGTTTAGGGCTTGGGGTTTAGGGTTCAGGGTTTGGGGTTTAGGGTTTGGGGTTTGGGTTCAGGGTTTAGGGTTCAGGGTTTGAGGTTTAGGGTTTAGGGCTTGGGGTTAAGGGTTTAAACCCTGAGCCCTAAAAGGACGGTATGCCGACCCCTAAACTCAAGAAATTCCTGAGGTTGTACAACGCAAAAGGCTTCCGTTTGTCAACCCCCAACATGGCCACCATATATGGTTTAGGGAAGAGGTTCTGCAGCAAGAGCGCCGGCCTGGCCAGTCAGAGGGTTTAGGGTTTAGGGTTTAGGGTTTAGGGTTTAGGGTTTAGGGTTTAGGGTTTAGGGTTTAGGGTTAAGTCACGGGAACACTGCCAGCGCCGTTTTAGCGTTTAGGGTTGAGGGCATCTGCTGAGTTCATGAGCCCGCACAACGTGTACACTTTCAGTTCTATAGGGGAGTATAGTATCCCAAAAAAGTATAAAGTTTAGGGTTTAGGGTTTAGGGTTTAGGGTTTAGGGTTTAGGGTTTAGGGCACTCATTCAGCTCCTAAGGTATGGGGTTTAGGGTTTAGGGGTCTTATAACCCTGAGCCCCAAGAGCCCGAAAGCACCGGACTCAAGCTTCTTTCGGGCAGCGGCTCGTGATTCAGTGCAATTCTAGCGTGGGGTGCAGCCTTGGGGGCGCTGAGGACCGTGCGAAATCTTCCGTGTAGGAACGAACCACCCTAAACCCTAAACCCTTATTTGTCAAACCCTAATCCCGAAACTAAAACCAGAAACCCTAGACCCTAAACCCTAAAGCCTAAACCCTAAACCCAAAAACGTCTCAGAAACCACCCCGGCCTGTTGCCAAAGGACACCGCCAGTGTGACAGCCGTGCCAAGCACTTGTGCCAAGGCGATCTGCGGAGTGGCTGGGATTAGGGTTTAGGGTTTAGGGTTTAGGGTCTAGGGTTCTCTAGGCAAATAAGGT